CCCGGGGATCGAACCAGCAACCTTCTGGTTACAGATGCGCTTCCCAACCTCCTGTGCCACGGTCGCCCCATTTCGCCTTTGTCAGTGCGCCCCAGGGCAGCTGTGGCTACAATGTAGCTGCCATCGCCAGTGTGTGAATGTGTGTGTGAATGGGTGAATGACTGAATGTAGTGTGAAGCGCTTTGGGGTCCTTAGGGACTAGAAAAGCGCTATACAAATGCAGGCCATTTACCATTAGTATATCCATCACTACAACAGCACATATATGCCAGGTTTGGGTGGTTCGGGGGGCAGTTGCTAATGCTACACTGAGATTAGTGTTCCTACCTACTGAGCACTACACATTTCCTAGTCACAGGTATCTTGCTGTAACTTGCTGTTGGGATGGACTTTGTTATTGTTGTAACTCCATCCAAAAAGAATACATCATCCACCACTCACCATGGCGAGGGCCTGATGTCTTCCTGGAAGTTGATGGGCCCGTTCTGCTTGAAGAGCACGTAAATATAGCGATGGAAGCCTGTTCCTCTGGCAGGGAAGGGTGGCAGGTAGTGACACAGCTCCTCACCAGCCTGGACTGCTGCGCCCGGTATGTTCCCCCTGCAGAGACATGGGTCATTCGAGGAATCCATGAATAACTCGAAACCAGGTTTATTTAGCTTAGATTTAAACTTGAAGTGAGAAATCAATGACAGTAAGCCAACCAGCATAAAGTGAATGGACTGTAATTTTTTTTTTAGTGCTCATCCAGATGATCTGACCAATCAAAACATCTTACACTTCAAGTTAAGAGCAGAGAACAAAGCTCTGTTTTATTCCATTTCCTTTTTAGGGTTCGCCTTGCTGGGCAAACAAATGCCCTATTTATTAGTTTGTCACCAGCTCCACCTTATGAGCCTCAGTCTTAGCATCGCCTGTGTGTGACCTTTGGCACAGATTTTTTTTTTTTTTAAATCTCTGAAAGTCTACCGCAGCGATGGAACACAATTCTTTCAAAAGTCACTCCATCGTTTGGTGTTTGGTTTATGTTGGTAGAAAACTGTTTCAAAATCTCTCACAGGTGTCAAACCTTATTATTGAGTGGTCCTCACCCATATGGAAAAGATATATATAAATCTTATAAAGTTTGTATCTGTCTTGTGTGAAACTTGTATGAAATGCATACAGGAGTGAAAACAGATATAAGATCCCTTGAAAAATTATATAATGAAACTTGAAACTGTGTTTTGGATACTTACAAAAACAATATATGAAAGTAATGAGAAAGTGGCCACTTTCCTGAGTAAATCATGTAAGTTTTTACTATTTCTTTTTTCTTCACTCAAGTAAACACAGAAAGGTTTATTTGCAGGATAAAACTGATTACGCAGAACAAACACGTAGCAATTTGTCCTCAAGCAGACCAATACATGTGGAAAATACTAGTGTAAGAGGATGAAAACCCTGCTCCCACAGCAGAACACAGCCACCAGATTCTCTTGCTGAAGGGGTTGTGCAGCAGTTGTATCCTCAGTTGGCCACAAGATGTCTCTTTTTCCACAGAAACTGTACTTACTACACTGATCAGAATCATTTAATAATCAATAAGGAAATTATGTACTTGGATTATAAACTAGTTTTGACATCTAAATCTTACTCCTGTGAGACAAAGCTCTGTAAATGCAGCACCGTGAAGCTCACACAGTCAAATGAAGGAACTATAAGCATATGTTTTGTGAAACTGGATGCTCAGATTTAGTGGGAAACCTTATACTTTGGAAAATTAGATCAGTAAATTGATCTTGTTGACTTAGGAATTATCTGATTGCACTTTTGAACCTCAGCATAAACACAACATGGTCAGCATATAGTTGAGACTACTCACACAAGCCAGTGGATGTATTCTGCCTCGTTATCTTGAAGATGCTCATCTGACGGGGGGAAAAAAAAAATTGTACTTAATTTGGACAGTCTGCAAAAGTAAAGAATCCATCAGTTACTTGTGTGGATTTACTTTTAAACGTATTAAAAGACAGCCAGTCATTCTTAGGACTGTCCACTGATCATTTTGTGTGTACCTGGACAGGTAAGCAGGAGGGTCCACAGGGAGCCCTCCTCTGCATTGAAGCTGATCTGTGGTGCCGTCGCTGCCTGGAGGACCACAAAGAACAGAAAGAACATGGTGCAAGAAGATTTATAAAAGGTGTGGGGGGAGATAGAATCAAAATCTCTTAACGTACCTCAGTGGGTGTCAGTTGATTCCCATAGTGCACATGAGTGCCGTTATCCTGGCTGTAGCAGACCTTGAGTGTAACCTGAGGTAGAAAATAAGCCATGGGGAAGAGATCTCTGAAGACCCCATAGTGGTCCGCAAGTCTTTTAACGTGAAACGGCCCGGTTGTCTTCTCCCAAGTTTCCTGCACTTGATCCAGAGGGATCTTAACTGGTGGACAACAAGGAACCTGTTACCACAGGGTACCAAAACAGAGCGACGGGAGAATTCGTTAGAAACTGATGTAAGCTTACACGTGCGCAGACGAGACGCCCTCTCCAGCTCGACGTTCTTCTTGTTCTCCTTCATCACCTGCCTCCTCTTCCTTACTTCTTTGGTCCTGCAGGGTTGATAGTAGGGCAGTCCGATGTCCACTCGCTCTGCGCCTTCAAACACAACAGAATTCTTTCGTGCTATCTGGAGTTTTTACCATTAAAAAATGACATTTACAAGACATCACGTTGCCCCGATGTTCACTCCATCGTCTCACCGTGCTCAGGGTCAGCGTTTTCCCCGTAGCTCCTGTAAGTCTTCCACCATACGTCCTTGTTCCTCGCCTCCGCCGCTTGCCTGAAGTAACGATTGTAGCTGCGATACTTCTCTACCGACGCCAGGTTTTTAACATCAATCTCTTCATTTGGCATCGGGCCCAAAGGAGGAACCCGTTTGCAGAGGAATGCTGGAAACATCCCAAACAGTTAGACACATCGCTTTTGAAAATGCTACATCTTTAAATGGTAAAGTGATAGTGTACGATAGTGATCGTAGATGGTGATTCATATTTACTTTTCCAGCTGCTGCGCTGTTCTATTTCACCAAATTTGTATTCATTCTGCACCAAAGTATGTTTCTGTGCCTTTTGATTGTCAAAGCTACTGATTTCCCACATCTGAGTGGGGAGGTGGAAGAATCCATTACATTTTGATACAGAGCGGGATGACTTTGCCTACATCTGTGAAGTACACAGATGTAGGCATTGCACGGTCCTCTGCAATGACCTTTGCAGAGAACCGTGCATCCTCAGTGCCTTTCTACTTTGCAAGCAAGGCTACGTAAAAACTATGGGCCAAATATGAGGAAATGTGGTGGAGAGAAAGAACAAGAGCATGCATTCAAATCCCCTTCTTTAAAATTGAAAACAATGCCTTTAGGGTCTTGGCAGAGGATCAGACAAATGTCATGAAAAGTGAAGATCAAGTTAATTAACTGGGTGAAGAGCAGTGTAGTGCCTGTGGGGGAGTCAGACTTTGGAGGAAGATCACCCCTCATTTCTTTTTGTGTTATTTATCAGCTTGTGGCTGGTTTTAAAGCATGACTGAAAACTGCAAAACAAATGGAAATGTGCAGAGGACATTTTGCACTCCGAGTCAACTGTCAGTGAGTGATGAGTTCACTGTCTCGTACTTTACCTGTTTATTCTAAGGCAGATATCTTTGCACCTTTATAACTATGGCTGTGAGTATTTACGGATAACTATATTAGTCATTGGATAATTACACAGCATACACTTTACAGTTCAAAATTAAGAAGAAAAAAACAGTAGCTGCTAATTTCCAGAAAATAATGTAACTGATGTATGAGCCGTTTAGCATTAAATGTGTTGACACTCTTACAACACCTCAGTTGTTTAACACCAACTTTTCCTGATAAATGTTTAGCTTGACCAAATTTATTCGTCACATTTGTTTATGAGATTTCTACCATGTCTGTAAGGGGACAGCGTGCATCAGGGCTCTGCTGCAACTAATATAACCCACCGAAATATTTTCTATATTCAAGACGTTCAGGAAGTATTTTAAAAATTGTCAAAATACAGATGGACTCCATACCTGTTGTGACAAATGTCCTCGCATTATTGACCCCTAAATCTGTCCCGGTCCGTAAAGCAGCAGCACATACTGTGCGCAGCGCCATCTTGGAATGACTTTCCCCGCCCCTACTTTTTTTCTTTTTTTTTCAAATAGAATACGGTGGCCGAGAGGGAAAAAAGAAAAGAAGACACTTAAAACTGAATTATGCAGTCATATACATTATAACATTAAAATGTAATACATTAAATAATTGTAAGGATTTTTGAGGCGAATGTTTCAGTAAATATCTATTCTTCATTAATTAAACCAAAATAAAGCAAACGATTGACATAAATTAAGTAGTATTGTCCTCGCAACTTCACAGCGGAACAGTGTTACAGTTTGTCTCATAGCGTACAAAATACAAAATACATGGGTCTTTTTTAAATTTCATTGGTTTCTCGAAAGCACGTGAAGACATCCGTTTTTGCGTCATACGTCATCCGGAACGCTTCATCTAGCAATATTCATACAGTGTTCTGCATGAATCTATCTGTTTACGTGGTAAGAATTATTTTGTTTGGTACAGTATCTTGCTGGTGAGTGTGTAATGGTGCTCTGTTTTCGGATATCTTTTGACCATTTTAATATGTTGACGAATATTCGTTTGTAACAGTCCGCGCTAACGTTGAATGACTTGAAAGCATGCTAACGCTGGCTAACATTAGCTTTTCCGTTCACTTGTGTGGTAGCTGACATTAGAATCTGGGACTGCTGCCTTCCTGCTCGCCTGTTATTTTTCTCTATAAATGTTAAGCCAGTTCATAAAGAATATTTTCCTGCCCAAAAATAAAATTAATTTAAAAAAAACAAACGAAATGAAGTTGTTTGTCTCGAAAGGTGTCATATTATGGTTAACCTCAGCCTTTTTTGTTTCCCTCTACAGAGATGTCTGCCATGTCTTCAGAGATGGAGTCTCAGAATGCAAACCTAAACTGTTCCATTTGCCTGGAGTTCTTCCGGTATCCTGTAACCATCCCCTGCGGTCACACCTTCTGTAAAAACTGCATCAGCAAGCACTGGGACATTAAGAGCCAGTCTGACATTGGCCCTCAGTGCCCCATCTGCAACGAGGAGTTCAAAATTAGACCTGTCTTGAGGCGTAATGTGTCCTTGTCGGTCCTGGCAGAGACTGCAAACAGCGCTGGCCCCTCATGTAGGGATGCTCTGGTGAGAGGAGGTGAAGGGGCCAAAGCCATGCTGCTGTGCGAGCGCCATAAAAAGCCTTTGGTTTATTACTGCAGGCAGGACAAAAGGTCTGTGTGCAGCGAATGTGAAAAGTCAGAGTGCGTGAACCACGAAAGGGTCATATTGGAAGAAGAAAGGGAAACTCAAGAGGTATACAAACACAAAGCCTCTGCAGATTTTTAACTGGGAGTGGATTATAGATGATGATTATCACATATTTGTATGACTGTGAAAGAATAAATGATTTTTTTCTTGACTTGATATGTTTTCATTACAGCTGCTGCTGGAAAGGAAGAATACAGATGTGGGGAAACTGCTTGAAGAGACGCAGAAAAGTATAAATGACTTGGCTGAGAATATCAATCAAGCTAAGGTAAACTCTCACTTTAAGCCTTTGTAAATGCTTCGCAAAAGGAGGCTTTTAAGTATAAAAGAAATCGAAAGCGTGTGCCCAAATGAACCCAAGCAACTATTTTACAGAGCGTATTTTAAATTCACAGGTAACTCTTGAGCAGACGTCAGCCTGGGTGAACGCCAAGTTTTCTAACCTGATGAAAATCCTGTCCGAGAAGCAGGAGGCAACAGCGCTTTTTATCGAGCTGCAAAAGCAGGCAGCCCTCACGGAGGCAGAGGCGCGGCTAACCGAACTTAGCGAGCACTCCCGCCTGCTCAGAGAGCGCCAAGACCAAATTGCGGCATTACATGACCTCCCTGATACTGATCTCATCAGGGTTTGTATCCCTTGCCCTTTACACATTTGGGAAGGGGAGGGTCTGGTTTTTTATTTTGGTTCATTTTATAGTCCCAGTAGTTTACAAAGGTAAGTATGTGCAGGTTGCTGTTTCATGCAACATGCACAAGTGGATGCGTAGAGCTTTGAGCAAGCTTCCTACTGCTGGATGGCTGCACAAGCTTTTTTTTAAATAACGAAATGTGGGCTTAGTTAAACAACACGAGACTGGTATCTGCTCAATCACAGAAAACCTCAGGGTTTCGCTTCTTTCCTCTACAAAGTTTATCAGAGTTGCGGCCCAGGCCTTGTCACGCCTTTCCTATGAGCCACGTAAAAAGAAGATTGAGTGTCACAAGTAGCGCAGAGAGAATAAAGCAACTAAAATGAAAGATGTCTGTTGGCAATAATAGATTTATTCAAATGAGTATCCATACAGACGATGGCTGAGCTATGGACTATAAATAAAAGCTGGAATTGCCTCCCAGAGTACAGCAAATGCGAGAGTTTCTTTTAGCCCTCATTCTTTCTAAAGGCCAGCAGGTGGCGGCTTCACTGGCTGCAAAGAGACATCTTGGAAAATTAATGTTTACTTTATTTGTTATCTCATTAAGAACTTTCCACATAAGTTTATTTTGTCAGATTTTAGTTCCAGGCCAGTGAATGCACCATGATACTTATTTTGTACCTTATAGTCTCCCCTTTGCGCTTGATCTGTCTGGTTTGAAAGGCACTGAGAAAATATTCCAACTCTCAGCTTCACAGCAATGCTTTCCTGACCAGTGGGAAACATCACAATGGCGTCTTTTACATATCGACAGTGTGTGGGCCAGACAAGTAGAGGCATTATTTGAGCCAGCTAGGGCAATAATTACACCGTTTAACAGAAACGATGCCTGAAACCTGTTAACCACAAATTCTAGGAGCACACTGTAGAGGATCCAGACATATGTCATAATGTAATGAATGGCAGGTGATTTTGAATTGTCATTAGAATTGAGTTTTTATTTCATTTAACAATTGCAGACGCAGCTTAAACTCACTGTTTCAGTTATAAAGGTCAAACCAAAGTGATTAATCAGACATTGAAACTTTTGCCTGTTCGTTAAAGCACTGCCTGAAACTTGCTTCTTCACAGGAATCATCGCACGTAGAAGTCCCGCGCTTCAAGGACATTTCCACAGATGTGACTTCGACCCTGCAGGATCGATTAAACGGCGTCACCGACATCCTCTCCCGAGTGTATAAGCTTGTGTCTGAGGACCTGGAGAAAGCTGTGACCACCGCTGTGGGTCATGACAGAGAAGGTGACCTGTCACTAGGAAAGATGAAGCACGTTAGCTCGATCCGCCTTCAGACGGTCCTCGTGTGTTCTCATGCATTGTCTTTGGTTTCCAGGTTCTCCTCAGGACAAGAGGCCAGTACTCGCTGTGGTTCCCAGCCCTGCTGCTCCGTGCCACCCTGTTGGGAAGGAGGGCCTCAGTGCTTGTGAGTTCTAAGAGACATTTTATAACTAAGGACCTCTAAGACTTTTCTAGATCACTGTTCCAGCTTTAATCTGCCTGATTCATTTTCTTCCTTCTTACAGACCGATGCTCTCTGACTTTTGACCCACGGACAGCCAATGGGCATCTAGTTCTTTCCCAGGAGAACCGCAGGGCTGAGCACTTGACATCAGGGCCACGCGCTGTCCCCGCTCATGAAGCCCGCTTTGATCACACCTGGCAGGTGCTGTGCTTTCAGGGATTCAAACACGGACAGCACTACTGGGAACTGGAGGTGTCCAAGCCTTGGGCCTACCTCGGGGTAAGGATATCATAATGCTGTGTAGGCTGTGGCTTTGTGACACATCGCTTTGTAGAGGGTCGCTAACGGGAACATCCTAGGCCCTGCCGAATAAATCGTTGATATGTATGTTGAGGTCATCAGAACTAATGATTCCATGCAGATTGTAGCTGCATGTATTCAGTCCACAACAGGTGGAAATCAGCATGTAACAAGCTCAGGAACCTAACTTGTGACCCACACATGTTACATGAACCTGCTCAATAGTAGATCCACTCTGATGTGTCTGATCAGTCGAGAACGTTTCAACAGATTTTCCTTATGTGTTATACGGGGATTCATTGTTCCCAGAGAAATGACCACAGGATGCTAATGTTTCACTTGTTCTGCGCATCTTCCTCCCCAGGTAACCTACGAGAGCATCCCCAGGAAGGAAAAGGGCAAGAGATGCATGGTGGGAATGAATGAACTGTCCTGGAGCCTGCAACTGGACGAGCACCAGCTCAGCGCCTGGCACAACGGCCGGCGGGAGACCATCCCCGGCAACTCCCATCACAGCCGCATCGGCATGCTGCTGGACTACGAGGCGGGTACGCTTACCTACTACGGAGACGGGCAGACAAGGCTGCACGCCTTCCACTGTGCCTTCACCCAGGAGCTGTTTCCCGCCTGCTGGATAGGAGAGGGGGTCAGCATCACCCTCTGCTCTTCATGAGCGGACTTGTAGAAGAGGGGAATAAGTGGAATTCTAGGAATACTATGAATCATGGCCACAATCTGACTTGACATAAAGAACCCCCTCCCCCCCGCCTCCAAACAATCTAGGAGCTTCTTTTAAATTCACTTTTCTCTTCTGGGACGACTGCCTTCCTACATTATTTTTAGTAGAAGAACTGACTGACTGGGATTTTCTTTCCTCTAACATGTTTGCCATTTGGTTTTGCATTGTCATTTACCACAATGTTGCTAAGGAAACAGTTTATATGCATACGTAAGGGGCTTTTAAAACAAGTTGCAGTTTTAGTTCACACTAATTCATTTTTTTTTAACATGTGATAAATAATGTTCATGTGTCCTGTTTCAGGTAGGAAAAAAAACAGTTACATTTCAGTGGGTCACACTTTTGAACTTTCATTACCTAAAGCTTAGAAACAAGTGACTCCTCATGAGACACTGAACTCTGCATACATGCTGGATTATGTCTTTAATTAGGTGAAAAGATACTTACTGAGGTGGAGGTGAATGCATCAGTAATACTGTGTTGTGTTTCTGTGCCAGCACAGGAGGACAACTCGAACACACTCGGTCTTACACATGTCAGATTTGAGTATTCTTGATTCTGCCCTAAAGAAATGCACTTCAGGCTACATGAGAAGATGGATGAAACTCCAGTATTTGAAGTTTCCTATAGGTTGGTGAGGACCTGTTACACTTATTCCATTTGAAAAACATGAATTGACTCTAAGGGAAATTTATATGATTCTTTTTAGCAAAGGTGAAATTTGATATTGTCCTGACTTTATTTTTAAAGTTCAATTGAAGCATTATATTAGTAGATTCACCTATTGTATCAATTTGAATATCTTCAGTGACTTCACTCAGGAGTTATTTCATTCATAATATTTTCAGGAAACTTGACTCTGACCTTGAGGTCGGGGTTACCAAGACACAAACCGACAGAAAAGCATAATGGGTCCACTTTTGTAGCTTTATGTTAATCACACAGTGAATTGTATCAGATGGAAACTGATGAATATCCGCCTGTGCCACAGCATGTCCACATACAAATGAAAACAGCAAATGTAAAGGGGATGCTTGGGGGGAAAAAAATTTCAAGGCTCAGATGTTTTGGGTAAATATTGTACTCATACATGTCTAAACTTCATTGTTTTCTGATAATATTCACATGTATGCTGAGCTCATTCTACAGAAGTATGTGAGCTACTGTAGGTGAAAGAAAAATGTTGCAGGCTGTAGCACAACTACTGAGAACACAACTGAAAATCGAAGGCTGCGTTATCACGTTGCGATCTGATCATGAATGCACAAACAAATGGTGCCGACTGCTGACAGCGCTGAGCTGGAATCTGATGTATTGTGCTGGTGCGTGCATTTTTTGGGGCAGATGATTTTTAGATTATGAGGGTTTACAAATCTTAGCTTAGCTGAGAACTTTTAGCACATTTAAAGTGGGTTACTGCTGTGGATTTGCACAAGTTTCCTGAAAATAAGGAACAGCTGAGGAAAAGCACATTTGGCTGTTTTGGTCTAATGATTGGGAGAAAACTTTCTGTCACTCTTCCTGCTGACTGTTGCGTATGTTTGTCAGAACTGCTAATGCACTATACTGTGGACTATTAAAACTTGTGATAGCAATACTCTGCTGAAATAAAGACGGACACTCTGAATTCTTTATTAAAATCCAGTCCAATGCATACATGCATCAGTTGAGCTCATGCCTTGTTTTCTTACTTGAGTTGTTAATTATTCAATAAATTAGTTTGAATTAAATACAGAGCTTTATTTTTATTTTACACACAGCCATGACGGAGCATACAGGAACCCGATGCATAGCATTCTAGAAGTGCAAAGAATCAGCCGCAGATGTGCCACAGATACAGTATATAGATTAGAGACCGCAGAGGAAGGAAGAATAGAAGATGAGATACTCAGATTGGACCTCAAACTGAAGAGTAATAATCACGACCACAGAAACAGAAGAGTTCACTGATGGTTCTGTTTGTGTATACGATGTTAAAAATGCAGTGAAGATGAAAGCAGGCTGATGGTGAGTCTGACCGTGCGTCTTCTCTAACGTCTGGAAGCGTAATAAAATAGGAAGTGACATCATTGGGTGACTGCTTTGCTCTTGCAACATTATAAAGATAATCCCTCCTGGCAGTCGGTCCCTCCAAAAGCCCAGCCGTCCTCTCCCCTGCTCTAATCCAGGATCAGGGATTGGCTGCTGTGGCTCAACGCCGCTCTAATCTTTGTGGTCCGCTCGTCGGCCAAAACACGCCAAAGCAGGTAGGGCCACCCTGCGACCCGCTCGTTAAAAAAGCTAGTTCTTCTTTAGGTTAGTGTTCTTGATAAAATAATGTTATTTTTAAGTCTACATATTAAAAGCCTGTACACACAAATAATAGAAAAATAAAAGACTGCGTTCATTTCGCCTCTGGACAGGTTAGCAAAGTATTTACTATCATTTATCTGAGTCTAGTTTTATAGACAGTCACAGGACATCATAAGCACAGCTGAAGTTAAGGTTGCTGCACGATTCTGGGGAGGCTTCCAAGGCAAGAAATACTAAAATAGCTCATCAGGTTACAAGGTTTTAATCAAAAAACCCTCAAAACCACTCCAAACACTTTGGCCTGAACAATTTGTTCTTCCTCAGAGATTGCTACCAACACTTCTTCTTTGCTACTTTACATCACGTAAAGGCGCATTTGAAGAGAATGAAGCTGATTACAATATATGAGTCGTTACAAGGAATGCAGGCTGAGGCGGGAAAGCAATCGGATGACTTTAAGGTTAGATCAAAATGGAGATGAGCTGGAAGGAGATTAGGATGAAAAAAATTGATAATCTTGGGGGGAAAAAAGAACATACTGGCCCTCCTACTGTCCGGTTAATGTAAGAGAAATAATGAGATCCAGCAGGATGGAAGATAGAGGACAAAGAGGAATGAGGGAGACATTAAGCAGGTCTATTGGTTCTTCTTGTCTTCTGGAGGAGAGTAGGGAGGAGGCTTGTCCTGGAAAGAGAGGAGAGTTTTGTTTTGAGCATGTGAAAGATGGTGCTATGTAAACAGAAGAGTAGGAACACACAGTGCTCTTGGATTACTGGCATTCACAGACTGTAGCTGTGGCAAACAACTGGCTTTTAACCCCATAAAACGTGGTTTTATCAGTGACTTCCACTTGCTGTAACACCTTAACCAGGTTATCCACTGATGTGGTTTCTGCATAGCTGCTAGCATCAGTGACTGTCTCACAGCAAAGTAGAGAGAAAATAAATAAACACTGGCTGACCTTCTGCAGAATGATGCAGGTAGGGATGTTTCTGATGTAAATGGCTGATGGCCAATGCCTGTGCTGATTATTTTGCTTTTATTATGGTTTTGTTGTCATTCATTGCTCTGTTTTTGTGTCAGGGGATAGCACGAAATGTTACCTATGGAAAATATCTGACCGGATTTCTTTCCCACTGAAAAAAAATGATGTGATAATATATTGGTAATTCATCGCTAAATGTCATTTTAAGGCTGATATCTGTCAGCTACATTGCTACATTTCAGTGTTGTACATTAACTGTAGCGCTGAAACAAATTACACATTTCTCCAAAGTGATGAAGACGGCTGCACGAAGGGCATCTCCTTTCTGGAGCTGTTGTCCAGACAGTAGATTGCCCTTCTTGCTGCACGTTGAAGCTCTACTTGGAACCTTGTTAAGATCCAACCTTGCAAAATATATAATATAAAATAAATGTAAAATAAATATATAAAATATATTTTTCAAGTGGTCTTAAACTTTGATCAGGACTGTAGCACCACACAGTTGGTGGAGATCTGCTGTCTGCGCATTAATGATATGATTCTCACATTCCACCACATCCCAAAACAAGGAATTTTCACCCACAGAACTGCTCACTGGATATTTTCTCTTTTTTGCTTCTTTCTCTGTAAACCTTAGAAATGGTTGTAAAGGAAAAATCACAAATTTCCAACACCAAAATAAAATAAAATGACTTTTTTCTACACTGGTAAATTAATCTGACTTGATGCCGCAGCTTAAATTTATCAATACGTTTAAAAATCATGCAAATACACTGCGCTAAAATATTCTCCTCTGTATGCAAAAAGGCCCTCACTTTTCAAATTACACACCAAATGAGTTTATTTTGGATCTGCAGTCACTGTTAGTATAGCAATACTAGCAATGACTACAAACAAACAGATGACAAATGGAAAGGAAACACAGCTCAATTCAAAGAGACATGGAAATTCAAACACTGTCTCACAGCCACTGAAAGAAAATCTTTGACAAGATTTACATTCTCATTTAAAAAAAAAACTTGTAAAGCAGAAACATGAAGGGCAGCTCACCTGCGGCATGTACACATGTGTAGGGGGCAGTGTGGCACAGCTGGCACTCGCTGCTGCTTCAGCGGCTTTGGCCTCTGCTGGGAAAGTGAGTGAGACAAAGGAGGGGGTCATTAATTAAACATGGGTCTTACTAATAACCCCTGGGACATATGAGATGAGAGGTGCTAAACGCGCTGCAGGTACGACGGCCGGTGCATTGAGAGAGAAAAACGACAGTTTAAAATCTCCACGACTTACAGATAGCATTTTTCCAGCGCAAATTGTTTTAAATATTTTGGAGATCTGACATTAGCTTATCTTTAACCTTAAATTCCTTAGTACAACATCTCTGTGATGCTGAATTAAGCTCATGTGATATCAGTGCAGTGCATTCACTGTTAGAAAGCAGGCAACATGTTGCCCTTCCTACTGCTTTATGTATCCAGGCCCAAACAACACAAAGTACTTCCAATAATGTACTGTATGCATCGCTTCTATCTTGAGAAAAAAAACACTATCCACACTTTCCAAACAAATTACTTTTCTTAGTTTTCAATTTAAAATTTACCTGTAATCATTCAATAAAGGAGGGTATTTTTAAAAACAATCAAGGTCCGCAATCTATATACCACTAAAAAAATATACTAAAGACAAAAATGATTTTTTTACAGCAGATATTTCTCTTGGTGTGGCAGGAAAAAGCAAAAATATAATGAGACATTTCATTAACATTATACTGGGTCTTGGTAAAGCTCTCCTTTTGTGCATGTTCTGTACTCACATCTTGATGCATGCTCAATCATCCAGGTAAGTAAATCTCCAAAAGTTGATTCTGTTCATCTGGACGTTGCGTTTTTCAGTGGGAGAAATGTTTTTCAGTGGGAGAAATGTTTCTCCCACTGAAAAACATTTCTCCCACTGAAAAACGCAACGTCCAGATGAACAGAATCAACTTTTGGAGATTCTGTACTCACATATAATGTTTGTACATTTATGAAATGACAAAGGTATTCTATTCTTTTCTAACAAGACCAGATCTGTTCCAACATGATATGTAAATGTTAAAGTATAAAACAGAGTGATGAACGCGTGCAGAAACTCAACATCCCTTTTTTTCCTAATAGCATGATGTTTTTATTTAGGCTGTAGCTGAAGTCAGAGCTTCTCTAACAGAGATTTTCACCTGCTGCCGAGGAGGGGAGGTCTGGATCATGTGGTGGCTGCTGACCCAGAGGAGCAGAATAAGGAGGTGGAGGTATGTATGCTGCAGAGGCATCAAATGCTGGAGGAGTGGCGTAGAATCCATCTGGAGTCCAAGAACAGAGAGTTGCAGTTTAGTTTTCACTTTCACAAGATGTGGATCTAAGCTGATGACAATTCTGAAAAGTACCTGGAGGAGGAGGGTTAGGGTAGGAGTAGCCGGGTGGAGGCCCTGCTGGGTACATTCCATTAGCAGGCGGAGGTGGGTAAGCGTAGGCCCCATTAGCCATGTAGGGGCATCCACCAAAGCCAGCAGTTACAGGCTGACCTCTGGATGCTGAAAATGTGAGGCAGTAAATCAATTAATAAGTCCATGAAATATCAGGAACTGTACTATTTCATGTGTTCTGCTGGAACAGATAATGTATAAAGCACAAAATAATTTGCTTTGCCCCAGTACTCAGAAGCTGTTCAAAGTCAGAGAGAGTCAATATGACTTAAGGGGAACAGATTTCTTAAAAAAAAAAAAAACAAGATAAGGACAAATATAAAGCAGAGATGTGTTTCTGTTAGAGGAGTTAACCTGTGGAATAGTTATGACAGTGATTTAAAAAGGTGTAGTTCATTTTCCTTGTTTAAAAACATG